CGATACTACGAGCGTCTGGGATCAAACGGCGACTGAATCGGAGGTCAAACGAGCTCAAACGAGATCAACGAAGCTTAGGAGTGCATGCTGGAAATTGTGCACGGCCAAAACCTCAATTTGCACGGCCGTGCAAGTAGGGGGTGCGAGTTTCAGCGGGTATAAAAGCTGTTTTGCGATTTTTGGAGAGGGAGAGCTGGGTTTTAGATCCCAAACACCCAAGGGATGAACCCTAGAGAGAGAGAGCGACTTGGGAACATTCTTGGAGCTATTTTGGAGGATTTCTTCGCCATTGGAGCTCGGGAATCAAGCTTGGAGATGGAGATTGAAGATCTAGATCAGATTTTTGCAGTCTCTCTCTTCTCTATGGAGTAACTTCCCTTCACTTAGGTTTTGAGGAACCCTAGCTATGTTTGTTTGATTGGATGATTGTATGAGTACTCTGACTTGATAATCTTGAGTTCATATTCAATCTATGCATGTTTTCATGATTCATTTCTGCTTTAGTCGAGATTATTGATTCTGCTTTGATCCTATGAGAGCGAATACCTGATTAGTTCAATAGAGCACCATAGATTGATAGTAGTGGATCGATTGCTTTAGTCGAGGGTTGATTCACTGCTTTGTATCGATTGAGAACCTCATTCGATAGAGGGAGTCTAGTTCAGAACGCCTTGATCGATTGTTCTAGAGAAGGATACGTCCCTCTAGGCAATTGACTCAAGAGGGCCTTGTTCCTTTAGTCGAGACTCAAGGTCTAGTCAAGGATTCTCCGCATTGTGAATGAAAGTGAAACAAGTTAGAGATCATCAATCGTTAATCTGGCTAGTGGCTAGGGGGAATCATACCTAAGTGAGTTCCCAACCTGTAATTAGATTAACATTAACTGTAGTTTGCTAGAGTAGTTTTAGTTCTTTCATCTTAATCTGTTTTGCTAGATAATGAACTGAAGCTGAGTAATAGTAACTCTAGAGACCCGTGGATTCGATATTTATTACTTGAGCCACTATACTGCAGTCCCTTTCATTGGTTACACTTGGCCATTGTTAGGAGTTGTGTTTTAGCGAGTCAAGTTTTTGGCGCCGTTGCCGGGGACTTTCTAGAGTATTAGGAAAGGCAGAAGTTTGTTACTTTAGAGTTTTTATTTTCCTTTCCACCCTTGCTTTTCACTTGGGTGTTTTTGTTTTTATTGGTGCAGATCTGAATCATGGACCCTCATGGCTTCTCCAACCATTGGGGGTATCCACCACCATCCGAGTGGTATTACCCTGAGACCCCCTGGAGCAATCAAGGAGAAGAAGACTGTGGATTCGGGTTCCAGTACCAACCCCCTTACTACGGAGAACAATCTGACCCCTGGGCATATCAAGAACAATCTCATTACCAAGAAGACTTTCTCCCACAACCAGAAGGGCCATCAGCGCTGGAGTTACCCATGGCGGCCTTCACGGGCCATTCTGCAGAGCCATGCTACACTCCACAGCCAGATCCAAACTTTGAACTGAGGCTTCTCCTGGAGCATTTTGTTCGGGACTCCGAGAGACGCAATCGCAAGATGGACCTCCTTTTCTCATCCTTTGCTCCTCCTAACTCTTCATCCCTCCGTGAATCGGAGGAGGCTGGTTCGCACTCATCAAAGCAACCAGAGCGGGTTGAGCAAGTTTGTGCACAACTTGCTCAAGATCACCCGTCTGCTACCATACTAGAAGAGGACGAGGAAGAAGAAGGCTACAAGGACATTGTGGAGCAAACAGAAGTTATCACGGAGAGCTCCCGTGAAGATCATGATCAAGAATGTCCTATCGTAGCCGACCACCCCTTTCCACATCCCACACTGAGCTTTGAAGAGGTGGGTATGAGTGAGGAGATGCAAGAAGATCTCATGAAAGAAATTGCTTGGCAACTTGCTCTCCAATCCGTGCTAGAAGAAGAAGAGCAAGAAAGGGTGCAGAAAGAAGTTGTGGAGGATGACAACAGTGAAGCAGAAGGAGTTCTTGATCATTTCCCAGGGGTGATAACATATGAACAAGGAAGGGAGGTTGACGAAGCAATTGGCGTCCAGGCTGAGGACGAAGTTGAGGTGGAAGAGGCCTGCACCGGCCATGAGTTGCATGTGATATCTCCACCAAACTTTGAGGAACTACTTAGCAAGGACCCATTTGCAGTGTCTCTTTGCCAGACCAAGGCCACTTCGACATCGGTCCCTCTTGGTGGACGCGGTGGTGGCCAATCGATGCTGTCTTATCTGGTTTGGGGCAATGAGACGAGAGAAGAGAAGAAGAGGTCTCGAGGGTGGAGATTTCATCTGCATCAAGTGCACGAGCCTTCATCACCTGCCACATCACCTGCTTGTGACTTGAGACTCCACCTCATAGATGAGAACCTCAACTTCAAGGAGGTTCTAGCATGGACCAAACTTAGGAGCCATCGTCCGGCTCACGACGTGAAAGAAGCGCTTGTTGGGAGGCAACCCAACCAGTCGGTTTGCATTTCTTTCTCTATTTCTCCTCGGTTGAGTCAGTTTTGTTATTTGGTTTTAGAGTCAATAGCTCAACCTTTGTGAGATTTTGTGTGGTGTTTGTGTTCTGATTACTCTCTCTTCCTGGAATGCACCGCCTGCCCCGTCCATCATCATTCACCCTTGATCTGGTAACTTCGTTCTACCCTCCTTATCTTTCCTCCATTGAGGACAATGTCGTGCTTAAGTGTGGGGGGTGTTCGATTATGTATGCGGGTGAATGTTTGGCTGTTTGTGTGCTTGGAGCCTAGTCCACTGTCCAAATTTTTAAATTTGAGGGCTCCAAGTACGTGTTCCTTGCAATTGCCTGCTCAGTATGCTTTGAATTGACAGTCTCTGTAGTGTTGGATTTGCAACCTAGGGAGGTAGTGTAGCACTATGGAGGATGTTGATGCATTTAAGACGTCTCATTTCTTCTTCATATTGTGTTGGTTGATTGAGTGAATTAGTGATCTTAGGACCCTTGAAATGTGTGGTGTTGTGGACTCTCTGCATGTCATGGACTCTTGTATCATGTTTTGAAAATAACAGGTGCTCGAAAATGTGCTTTAAAATGACGTCTCCCGTGCGAATAGGGCGAAAGTGTGTAAGGGGAGACGGGAATCCGTTCCCAATTTCCACCTACTACCTCCAGCCCCCTTACATGTCTTTTCCCCGCACGAGGCTCGAGACAACTGCTCCTGGCATGGCCGGTAAGAGCCGGGCTCCCGCAAAACCTTTGCTAGATGGGAGCCCCCGTTTTCTGCAAAAGCAGGTTGGAACCCTTGAAAAAAAAATGAGAAAAACAGAAAAACAAGCAAAAAGAAGAAAAACAAGCAAAAAGAAGAAAGAAAAGGGGTTCCAACCATCTTCAAGAAGAAAATCGAGCACCTTGAAAAATGTGAGTCCATGATCTTTTGTTTTTGAGAGTCTCTTCATCCACGATTCATTTGTCCTCTGTTCACTATTTGCCATGATGCTGACTCGAGACTAGTGCTCTCGCCGAAGAAGTTATGAGATGACTTGTGCGTCGGTTGACCTCGTAAGTTGCTAAATGATCTAGGAAGTCCTCTACCTACGATCGAGGTTGTTTGTTGCTACAGAGGTCTGGAGAGTTGCATTGGTTTGAGTTAGGTTTGCTTGGGGACAAGCAAACAGTTAAGTGTGGGGGGATTTGATGACTCGGTATTTGCACATGTTTTCCCCTTTGTTTCTTGATTGTTTGAGCTTGAATTATCGTGTCTTTGGCATATTTTACGCTAGGTTGTGTTCCTTTCTCACATTTCAGGTCCAAGCACATAAAGTGAAGTATAGGCGCAAGTTTCAAGTCAATCAGAGATCAATTGACGATTCGGGAGAAGAAACTCGGGCATGACCTGAAGAAGAATGGATTTCTACCTCACTTTATGGACAAAGAATCATGCAAGCTTGTCATGAAAAGAAAGAGGACGAGACTACGAGCGTCTGGGATCAAACGGCGACTGAATCGGAGGTCAAACGAGCTCAAACGAGATCAACGAAGCTTAGGAGTGCATGCTGGAAATTGTGCACGGCCAAAACCTCAATTTGCACGGCCGTGCAAGTAGGGGGTGCGAGTTTCAGCGGGTATAAAAGCTGTTTTGCGATTTTTGGAGAGGGAGAGCTGGGTTTTGGATCCCAAACACCCAAGGGACGAACCCTAGAGAGAGAGAGCGACTTGGGAACATTCTTGGAGCTATTTTGGAGGATTTCTTCGCCATTGGAGCTCGGGAATCAAGCTTGGAGATGGAGATTGAAGATCTAGATCAGATTTCTGCAGTCTCTCTCTTCTCTATGGAGTAACTTCCCTTCACTTAGGTTTTGAGGAACCCTAGCTATGTTTGTTTGATTGGATGATTGTATGAGTACTCTGACTTGATAATCTTGAGTTCATATTCAATCTATGCATGTTTTCATGATTCATTTCTGCTTTAGTCGAGATTATTGATTCTGCTTTGATCCTATGAGAGCGAATACCTGATTAGGTCAATAGAGCACCATAGATTGATAGTAGTGGATCGATTGCTTTAGTCGAGGGTTGATTCACTGCTTTGTATCGATTGAGAACCTCATTCGATAGAGGGAGTCTAGTTCAGAACGCCTTGATTGATTGTTCTAGAGAAGGATACATCCCTCTAGGCAATTGACTCAAGAGGGCCTTGTTCCTTTAGTCGAGACTCAAGGTCTAGTCAAGGATTCTCCGCATTGTGAATGAAAGTGAAACAAGTTAGAGATCATCAATCGTTAATCTGGCTAGTGGCTAGGGGGAATCATACCTAAGTGAGTTCCCAACCTGTAATTAGATTAACATTAACTGTAGTTTGCTAGAGTAGTTTTAGTTCGTTCATCTTAATCTGTTTTGCTAGATAATGAACTGAAGCTGAGTAATAGTAACTCTAGAGACCCGTGGATTCGATATTTATTACTTGAGCCACTATACTGCAGTCCCTTTCATTGGTTACACTTGGCCATTGTTAGGAGTTGTGTTTTAGCGAGTCACTGCCCAGTAGACGAGAACATTCGCGACGAGAATTTCCGATGGGATTGGGCCAGAGAGGTGGTTTCCCAAGGGGTTCAAGTTGGTGATAGAACGGCAATTCTCGATCCCTCGTGGGAAATCTCCGACGAGACCCATGTCATGGAGATCGAGACCGAGGACCTTGTTGTCGTACATGTTCCAGTAGGTTATACCAGGAAAGTTGCAGAGTCCAGCGTTTGTGTCGTTGGCGAATTTCCAGGTTGATCTTAAGCGGTTGAGTGGGTCGAGGAACGATGATTTGATCGATTTCAGGCAATCAATGTCGTCGTGGGCAGGGTCGTTCTGCTGCTGCCGGAGATTGTGGTGGCAAGTACTAAAAATGGGAAAGTAGGAGATAATGAAGGCATAGAAGAACAATGGAGGCATTTACCCAATGAGATGCCATGATAGACGATGTTTTTGGGACATCTAACATCTCTTCCATCTCACTTTGCTTAGGCGGGCAATTGATTTAACATCAAACAGAGTTGGATATAAAATAGATTAAATTTTATTTTATTTATTATTTCTTAATGGCCACATCACTAAGTTAACGGTCAACTTTGAGAGTTAACTGCCACATGGACCAAACGTGAACGGTTTCAGTTAACTGAAGTACCACCAATGGATTTAAATATTTCGAGAGACCAAACTTGAAAGTTTTTTGTAATCTCAGTGACCAACCATGCAATTAATCCAGAAAAAAATATATTTGGAAATTATCAACATTCCTAATGACAATTGACTCAAACCGAATATCACAATTAAATTCCATCTAAGTCCCAAGTATAAACCTTAAATGGGAGCAATATAGGGCAAGTATGTTTAAATACTTCGATTGTTTGAAACATTATCTAGCGGATTGTTGTTTGTGAAAATCTCTACAATCTATGATTAAAACGAAGGACTTGAAAGGTAAAAGGATTGAAACTCTTGGTGAGAAGCTTCACTCGGGACTTGTTTCCCCTAACTAACTACCATGACCCATTGGATCGAATGAATCAGTGTGGGAAAAGACAAATCGGTGTGAACCGCTAGGAGGAGTAGTAATGATTAGAAATCACACTCTCAATTGCTAGGCCAAGGAATGAATTATAGACTACAAATGTAGCCCTCTTGGCCCCAGGCAATTGAGGGTTGACTTACCTTCTCCCTGAAACCGGGGGTTTGGACGGCTTAATCACAATTAGCCTAGGTATTCAATTTGAGGTTAGAGATTTGTCCTATATTTACCTAGATAGGAGGCATGGAATGCCAAGAAAACCTAGCTCAATTTGAGCCTCTAAAGATAAGGGGGTTTCCCTCTAAGCTATGTTAGAATGTCACAATAGTTTGCCAAGCACACACAATGCACAATCACCATGAAAAACATACCTCAAATCTAAAATTAAACACCACTCACACACAATCATTCAAACCACTCAATTAATTATACGGTAGAAGTTAGGGTTCTACAACACCCAAGTGAATAGGAGACTACTCCATGCTAGAAGCAGGAAGAACACAAAGGAAAGTGAAAAAACCCATCATTGTGATGCCTCAATCCTCCCTTGTGTTTGTAGAGATCCTCTCTTGAAGAGGAACTTCCCAAATCTTGATTTGGAGCAAACCTTAGCTTCTTCTCCCTCTTGATTCATTGTTTTTTCTCTCTAGATTCTTGAAGAAGAAGAAGGTTTCTCTCACTTTGGGCTCCACTTTCTTCTTCCTTTAACTCTCCTTTTATAAACAGATCACGCCCAGTTCATGGTTTCATTTCACGGTCGTGAACTAATGGCGGAGACCGTGAACTCGAATTAACTCGCACCGTTTCATTTAGCTGGTTCACTGTCCATGGCTTCAGTTCACGGTCTTGCGACCGTAAACTAGATTGATGCCAGTAACCTGTAAAACCGCTTTGGAACCGTGTCAGTTCACGGTTTATGGCTCCAGTTCACGGTCCAAATGATCGTGAAACCCTGCCTGGACCGTGATCTTTGGCTGCTCCGTCCTTTGGTCCTATCTTCGCGCCATTTCTTCCAAAAATCGACTACGGGGTTGGTTCCACCTGTTAGATTCTGAAACACACTGAAACACGACAAACATAGCGTAAAACCACACCTTTGTGAGCTCAAATGCCACAAACGCCAAAGATAAATGGGGGTCAAAAGTGAAACACATACCATTTAACAAACAATGCTCTTAGTTAAAAGCTTACTCCAACACTACCTCTTCTTTTCTAGCAAGAACCGCACAAAATCCTCCTATGTAGAACCTCAATGGAGCTCCAAAGCATGAACTCCGGGACACAAGAACAACTCACGTATAGACATGAAGAAAGTATGGTTGTCGCTCTATCAAACACCATTAAGCTCACAAGCGAAAGCCTCCGACAAGAGAACGACCCGCAAAGTCACAAGGCTCAAAGGGGTTGACACAGGGATAGAATATTTCGGGACAATCCTATGCCTCCGTCATACTCGCTAGTGAAAACTGTGATGTTACTCGCCATGGTAAGAGAGATCTAATAATGCACCCAAGAAGAAAACGGTCGGCTCAAAACTCACATGGCTACCTAGTCACCCAACCATCTATTCCAATTCCCAAAACACAATGCATGGCAATTGTAATCAACAAGTAATCGAGTCAAGACATCCATTCAGTTTTGCACTCATGAGAACTAAACCTTTGCACTATCCTAATGCACCTCTCAGTCATCATCATAGGACACACTCGATCACATGCAACAATTCAAGGTCAATGCCAATAAACACGAGATTCTCCCACAAAACGACCACTTTGATCATGCAAGCATTGCTTGGAGCCCTCAATTTTTTCAAATTTGGGCATACATCAAGGATGCAAGCATTCAATCACACTCACAGAAGCATAATAATAAACTACCCCCCCCCCCCCACACACACACGCACTTAAGCTCGACATTGCCCTCAATGGCGTTAGATAGGGGTAGAACGATGTTAACGCATGGCTTGGTGAGTGAAATTTAGAATTTTTCCGGGGTAGGAGATTGGAGATTCAAGGAGAAGACAAAAGCAAACACAAACACACACATTCTCGCTCGAGGCGATGTTATTAAACATAACAATACAATAGTAGTAGTACTAAATGTTCATACACACACACACTGAATAAAAGAAAAGAAAAAAAATATAATGAAAGATCAAATAGTTTGGAGTTCCAAGTGGATAACTGCGGCGAAAGAAATCGGCTCTGCCACATGTCTCACTCCTTTGTGAAAGAGTTTCAAAATGTAAATTGATGTACATCATAAGGTAGTGCATCCATAGTGTGGTCAAAGATGTTGTGGATCATGCAAGTCAACAACCACCACTTGAGATGAAAATGTGTTGAAATTTGGTAATAAAAAGGGGTGATGTTATATGCCCATCATTGCCTCCCTCTCGGAGAATGACATTGTCCTCAAGGTCAGCATCAACAAAGAGATCGAACATCTCCGAAGTAAGTTCCCAGGTTGCATCCTCGTCTGGCAAAGCACACCACTTGACGAACGATTCCTCGATGATCTTATTACCTTAGTGAAGCTAGCGGGTGTCCAAAATCTCCTCTGATAGGAGTTCGAGTGCCCCATCATTAGTGATTGAAGGAATGATTAGGCTCGATGTTGTGTCTTGGGTAGTGCAACAACGGATGAGGGATACATGAAACACAGGGTGCACACGAGAGTCGGTGGACAGACCCAGTCGATAGGCCACTGGCCCTATGCACTCATTGACTCGATACGACCCATAGAAGCGAGTTTTGAGCTTCTGGGATGCTCATCGATAAACAAAGTGTTGCCGATACGGATCTTAGCGCAGAAACACCATGTCTCAGACCTCAAAAGACTCATCCCTCTAACCCTTATCAACCTGTTGTTTCATTCTGGACTCCAAATTATGGAGATTGATTTTCAAGTCTTGCAACACCTCATTTCTCTCTAGCAAAACTTGATTAACCTCGTGTACTGCTGTCCGTTGTGCTGGTAAAATGGAATCATCGGTGGTGGTCTTCCATAGACAACTTGAAAGGGTTTCATTCCAATTGAATGATGGTATGTGGTGTTGTACCAAAATTCATCCCTAGGAAGGAAGGTCATCCAAGCGAAGTTGCTGATGGGTGAAGTAGCATATGTATTGCTCGAGACTTGATCTTCTTCTTCATTCTATTTTGCACAACTTCTTCTTCTCCTCTCATTAAGTCCACGCAGACTTCCATCTTCAATAAGTACTGTGTCCCCCATTCGAGGGATATCTAACTTAAACCCACTACATACAAGTGCCTAGTCTCGCTTACTCATAGCCGAGCACTCTCAATCGTGCTTAGTCGTCATTGGATGAAAAAGTGCATTGTATGCTTTATTAGCCTCTTATCACTAAGGCGAGGTGTTTTCTACTTGCCTGAACTTGATTACACATATGCCTAAACTTGCTTTATTGAATCACGATTACTGATAATTTAATGGTGTAACCCCTAACCGAACATAACATTTAATAATAAGAAATACCAAACGACAACTCAGACAATTCACCGTCTCATCTAAATTTTTATACAATTAACAGTTTCTACTATAAAAGAAGAATATTGTAACATTTTATGTGAATCTCACATCGACAAAGCACGTGAGAGATCCACGATTCATAAGTATGAAACCGACATTAACCGAGAAGATGAGTTTCGGGGTGAAGTGGAAGAGTTTGTAAGAACTCCTTAGTTAAAAATGCTCACTTGGAGCACTGCAAAGATGAGTGACCTTATGAGAAGTCACATTAATATGCACTCCAAAGCAAAAAACGCGAAAGTCTAGACAAAAGCGGTTAATATCTTCGTTGAAAAAAAGTTCAAAATGTTACAAGTGGTATCAGAGCCTATCCCCATCCCTATTGAATGATGTTGGGGCAAACCTTAATTAACGAGAACGTTGAGTCCCAGAAGGGTGTATGTAAGACTTTAGGTGAATCCCACATCGACAAAGCACGAGAGATATCCATGGTTGATAAGTAAGAAATCGGCCTTAACTGACAATACGCGTTTTGGGGTGAAACGAAAGAGTTATTGTGATAACTTTGAAGTTAAACGTGTTTACTCTAGAGTACTGCAAGGATGTGTGACCTTATGTGAAGTCATCTTGATATGCACCTCAAGGCAAAAACCGTGAGGATCTAGGCCTAATGCAGACAATATCTTGTCGGGAAAAGTTCCAGAATGTCACACTCTAGCACAACCGAATCCTGCACAATCAACCACTAGCACCATGAGACACTTGTCGGGTTGCACCGTCAATGCATACCCAAACAGTCTCCTCAAGTAGGCCGTCCACCCCCTCCCACCCCCTGGCCTGCCTAGCCACAAGATTACCACCGGCTCCCTACACCAGAGACACAGACTCCAACTCCGTGACCTGACCGTGGAGCTCGGCCAGCAAGACTGCGGTGGAAAACAAGGTGGCTTCAAAAATACCCAATTTTAGCCTTTCAAATGCACCATAAAATTGATACAAAATTCATTACCTCCACCGAACCCATATTCCCCAGTCGAACACCCGATGCCAAAACAACTCAACACAACAAAGGGGGAAGGAATCATGCACATGGGCTAGGCCAAATGCCTCCAAAAGACCCATGGCAAGACGACATTTAAAAAGTAAGTGTTCCATAGTTTCCACCTCGGATAGGCAAGTCAGACATAGCGCCATACTCTCCACTCCTTGATGCGACAAGCCCTCCCCGATGGAGAATACCCTCCGCACAAATTTCCAAAGGAAGAAACATAACTTAGGTGTAAGTGGGGCACCCCAAAAAATTTCCCATAGCCCTTTATCCCAGATCCGCACCCCTTGATTCATACCTCACCTTATATTGCGATGGAGTTGAGCCGCTAAATGATACTACGACCTGAATGACATCTCCAACTTGCCTTTCCATGAGGTGAATCGCACCAGATCCTGACACCTCCACCACAGAAGAGTTGTTCGTTCTCCACTAGGGTTTTTAGAATCCCGATTACAATACAGAACGAGAAACGGAAAAACCATTCTCGAGTAGGGGTGACAATGGATCGGGTCGGGTCGAGTTTTAGCCAACCCAAACCTATGGGGTTATCCGTGAAAACACCCGGGGTAAAACTCACTGGATTTGAAAAACTCAAACCCAAACCAACTCGCTGGGTATCCGCGGGTTCATGGGTATTGGGTACCCATAGGTTTTTGTCTTAAAAAATTTACAATAACAAGTTACTATCAAAATTAAAGTCAAATATCAGTCTCTCAATACAAATTATCCATACATAAAACACCATTCTAGAAAATTCAAGGAAATCACAAATTAACTATACAAATTGTTCAACATGAATCTAGAAAACTCAAGAAAATTGAAGCATATTACAAATTATTCATAAACAATATAATTAATTGAAAGCTTGTTCCTCCTTGGCAAGTAACCTTCTTCACTCTCCACTCGATAATATCTACTTCATTCTACACAATTCGAAAGAAAAAACTAGAGATGTCTCCACAGATATAAAAAAGATTAATTGTTTAAAATATTAAATATACCAAAAAATTAATTATATGGGTGTAGGCGAGTACCCATGAGACGGGTATATCCAACCCCAACCCCAACCCGACTAAAAATCCGTCAATACAGATTTTACCCGCGTTGACCGGATTAGATCGAGTAGGTTACACGCGGGTTCGGGTTTTATTCTCATACTCGAGTGATTCCCTCTCTCTCTCACTTCTCCCCATCTTCTTTATTTCGTTTTTGTTTCTGTAATAATAAACGAAAAGAATCTGGGGAGACGAGCACGGGCTTCTTCTTCCTCGAGGCACTTAATCAGATCGGTTTTTATCATCGTCGGAATTGAACTCCGTCTGATCGGAATCGTCGCTCTCACTACTCTTTAACTTCTATCAGTTATTTTTTCCCCCCCCGACCATGGGACGAGGAAAGTTCAAGGGGAAGCCCACTGGAAAACGCCAGTTCTCGACTCCCGAAGAGATGCGTAAGCTCCTCTCTTCCTTTCCCCTCCCAATTTCGCCTACCTTCTTATCTGGTTTGCATGGGGTCAGTCCGTTTTCGGGAGGGTAAAATCCTCAAGGGTTACCGTTGTGATAACTTAAGCCGTGGTGGATAGATGAAGGATTTCTAGAGAAGGACTTAGGGTTTCTGTGGGTGGGCAGTGATGTGTAGGTTGCAATTCTGAACATAGTGATGAACCTGGAGTAGTATACTGGGAATCCATTTGGGCCTGTTGTCTGTTGGTAGCAGGCAGCAATTGGTAGCTTGTTGATGCTTGGTTCGCAGAAAGTCCAATATCTAGCTACACTTGTCGGTTGCATATTTGACCAGAAAGTGGAGAGCTTTCCTTTTCACAAGACAATTAAACTTCTAGCTTGGTATACTATTGCCTTTAATCTCTGGATGAGCTTGGGCTCTAATTCACTTAGAATACCAAGTGCCATGAAGTCAAGGAAACTTGACAGATGAGGGTCGTTCTACTAACCTTTATGTATTCCGCACCACGTAGTACAACCGCTGAAGCTAACTGTTTGATGATGAGCCTACTTGATTGCAGTTGCTGGGAGCTCTTCACGCCCAAGAACATTCAAACGGGTCTGTGTCTGAAACTTGTCTCTATTGGATCAGCATATTGTTTCTTCTTCCTTATGTAGCTGATGTTTGCTCTTTGTTTTCCGTTCCTTATGATCAATTGGGTCCTTCATACTTCATCAGGAGGAAGCTGCATATGAGGAGGAGAAAGCTGAAGAAGAATCAAGTGAGGAGTCTGGAGAAGAATCTGGAGATGAAGAGTCTGATGTTAGTGATCCTTCTGTTGTTTAACTTTTCATAGTAATTATATTAACGTTATCATTCCCTGATACTGATACTCATCAATCTCTTGCTGTTGACCTATGTTAGCAAAGAAGAAAAGGAACTGAAGGTCTTATCTCAATCGAGAACCCAAATCTTGTGAAGCCAAAAAATTTGAAGGCTAAAGATCTTGATGTAAGTTTTCTAGGCATGGTTACAACTATTCTTGTGTTTTTCAATAATCGAGAAATTAGCAGTGCTTTGTTTGCAGATGGGGAAAACAACTGAGCTTTCTAGGCGTGAAAGGTTAGTCGTGAATGCTTGTGTTTTCCCTCTCCATGATTCCTTTTTTATCCTATTCAATATTCAAGGAAAAAAGGGATGCCGCCTGAGTATCAGTTATTTAATTTTTGTAGTTAGTTTGATACAAGTACTTGTTTCATCTGGATCCTTTTATCGTGGCTTAGAATTCTGTTGCCTTATACCTGCCTTGCTGAAGATTGTTAGCTAGAAAACCAGTGGGAACGAATTTCCAAGTTTTCATCCTGTTGTTTGCAGGGAGGAGTTGGAGAAACAGAGGGCACACGAGCGATACATGAGGCTCCAAGAGCAAGGCAAAACTGAGCAAGCGAGGAAGGACTTGGGTAAGTTTGAAAAGATTAAGGAATAAGATGGCCACATTGCCAGGATACAGGCTTTACTAACTTGCTCGGGACTTCGTGTTCGAATCGCAGAGCGTTTAACTCTCATTCGCCAACAGAGGGCTGAAGCTGCTAAGAAACGGGAAGAGGAAAAGGCTGGTGAGTGGTAGACATCGTTCAGTTGTTTTCGACTTTTGATCATATCTAGAGTAGTTTGCGGTTGAAGCGTGGAACTAATGAAAGGGAATTCGGTTAATTTCATTTCAGCTAAAGATCAGAAGAAGGCAGAAGCAAAGAAGTGATTCTTCCCAGGATGGAGAAGGGAAGGCAGCCTTAGTTGTGCTGAAGAAGGAAGCTGCCCTGCCTAGTTCGTAATTGTTCTCTCTTTCTGACACACATTGTACCAGCAGCTAACCGGTATTTGATATGCAGCACAGTTAGTACACAACAGGGTTCTAATTTGTTTTGCATTTTAGCCAGAAGCTCCGAGTTGTGGATTTCAATACAAGAATTTTCTTTCTCCTTCCTTCGTCTTCTTAATTGCACAGTCCTGTTGCTTCAGTTATTGGCAATTGTTTTAGTCCCAGAGATCGCTGCACTGTATTTCGGATAGTAAATCGCCAATCGTGGACGCTCGTCACTCGGAAGGATGCACTTGCAGAATATTGGTTGAACCTCTTACACCTGCCTAAAAAGATGATAACATGAGAAAGCCTTCTAATGAAACTCTGGAGTTGACAGCGAAAAAGCAAAAGCTGCTTGGTGTAATTTGGCTCTCCATAAGGAGGAAGGCGGAGCGGTATAGATACATGAATACAAGCTGAAAAGGAAAAGAAGATGGGATATTCCTAGTAGTAATGGCTGCTGGATATGGCATAAATTATGAAGATGTCAGTTGGCTACTGCATTAGGCAAGCTGTGAATTGTAGGCGCCTACTGCACTCGGGATTAGTCAGTACTTAGTTGTAGTTGTTTGGATGTGTTCTTCTTTAGCAGATGTTGTTTTGGCGGTATAATCGTTGGTATCAGGACTGAGAAATTATGGGTAATAGGTGTAGACCAAACTATATCTGATTCCTCCGAGTAAATGTCACATTTGGTCATTAAAATTATTAAATCGTGTCATGTTTAGTCACTAGAAAAATTTAATATCAATTTTTTTTTTTTATAATGGTGATGGGATTAATTACCAGAAAAGGGAAAACGAAAAGAGTCATGGACCTGTACAAAGTAAGGGGTCAACAGAATTGAACCCATCAGTGATCAACAGAAGCGGGGAAGAAGAAAAGTAAGGTGTCAATTTTGGTCACTCGAATTACTAAAACATGTCATATTTAGTCACTCTCCCGTTAGTTTCTGTCAAACTCCAGTCACTCGAATTACTGATACATGTCACATTTAGTCACTTTAATTATTGAAACATGTCACATTTAGTCACCCTCCCGTTAGTTTCTATCCAACTCCATTATTTCTGTCCAACTCCATTAATGGAGCTGGACAGAAACTAACGGGAGAGTGACTAAATGTGACATGTTCCAATAATTCGAGTGACCAAAATTGATATTAAATTTTTCTAGTAACTAAACATGACATGATTTAGTAATCTCAGTGACCAAATGTGGCATTTACCCGATATGGTCTATTGTCTAGACCGAGGTATTGGAGCACATGTAAAGAATCAGACCGAATATTATACGGTTTGGACCAGACTGCAAGTGTGTTTTAGTATGGTTAGGATTAGGCAGGTCATGTTGAGAAAATTTTATTTGATTAGTTTGTTGGTAAAAAATCGAATCAAATAACAGAAAATATGTTTTAGCTTAAATCCTAAACCCCAACATTCATGTGTAATTTATTACCTTAATTCAAGTAATAACAAATAAACAAAAATGAACAACCCAACTTTCATCTTAATGTGATAAACGCTAACATAATATTATATGGAGACGCAATAGTCTCTACAGCTTTGCGGAATGTAGTTTGTGAACGAAGGAGGGGACATAATTCGCAAAATTTGGAGAGTGACTGAGTGGGTTGCTAATATGAATTGAGAAGTGGGCTGGGTCCACAATCTAATCCGATAAATCTCAATCCGGACCAGGCCATATAAACGAAGAGATCAAAACATTCCATAATACAAATCATGGATCTAACCAAACCATTTTAAACAATAAATGGTTTGAACCAAACTGTACGATCCGATTTGATTTATAATTTTTCAATCGGTCTGGTCTTTTGCTATTATAGTTTAGGGCTAGGAAAATAAACCAGACCGTTTGAAAAATCATGGACCAAACCAGACCGTACAGTTTGGTCAGGAGTCAGGACCGTAAACTGTTAAGAATGATTTTATTTTTATCTAGTCCATGGTCTGTATTACATGATGTTTTGATCTCTTGGTACAATCGATTTCTCAATACGTGTTAACAACACACTCAACTACTCTTCCGATATCCCCAATAAAACACAAGTCTCAATCCTAATTTTGAGAAACTCGTTCTCTCTTTCATTCACAACCACATTTCACCAGAGAGTAGAGATGATCGTGTCTCCATATGACAATATGTTAATGTTTATGACGTTATGGTGCAACTTGGGATGCTTTGACTTTGTCTTTTTGTTGTCTACTAAGATTTAGGGTGTCAAAATTCTTCATGCATGTTGGAGTTTATGTTTTAAGGCTAAAAAATATTTTTTCACGATTATTAATTCAAATTTTTATGTGTCGTTGACTAAACAAATTGTTCATTTTTCGTTCATTATGGTCTATTTGGACCAGACCGTACTGAAGTAGACCGTACATGCGTTGTTTGGTCTGAACCGTATAGTACATGGTCTGCTCTACGATTTATAATTCAGCCTTTTAATCTGAACCAATTACCACTACATCGCATCGTTTTCCATCCCTGCTATAGTTAATGGGTAAGGTAAACGCCAAAGGGCATACTTCCAACCACAAATATGAAATTTGGGCCGTCACAGAGCCTGTAGAGTGTAGAGTTGGCATTAGCCCATAAAATCCAATTCATGGATGGGCTTCGCCGCCTGGAATCCATGTGTTTGTCGGCCGGAGTACAGATGGCAGCTCGGGAGCGCTTGCACAAACACATGACAACAAAGTAATCGCCGAGTCGAAGATCTGAGGAAAATCCAAACAGAAAATCCGATAGCCATGACTGAACCCGAGAAGCCACCTCCAACCAACCTACCTTCTTCTTCAGCTCCGACGGAATCCAATCCCGTCGGGAAATCCACCGCCGGGTATTCGGGTCAAAAACCCCACTTCCCGAACCCGCCGGACGCCACCGCCGGGTATTCGGGTCAAAAGCCCCACTTCCCGAACCCGCCTGACGCCGTGAACCCGGACCCGGCTACCCTGAGGGAACAATGGCAATACGCCACAAAGAAGTACAGCAGGTGGTACTCCCAAGCGTGGGGGTCCGCGATTCTTGCCGGACTCTCCTTCTTCGCCCTCGGATGGGTCATCAAAGGCGGTAATCCTCTCCCCTCCTTCAAACCCGACGACAGCAACAACAACAACAACAACAACCCTTCCTCTTCCGAGACCGCCATCGGCGATGCTCCCCGTTAAATCTGACCCGTGAGTTTTTATCCGCTTGGATTTTGAGAAATTGCAAATTGGTCACTCCTCGCTACTTTCCCACCGATTTCGAAGTTGGGTTTCCTGTATTTCAGTTGTCTGAATTGGTCGCTTTCAGTGTTCATCCTTCTGAATTAATCATGGACGTCGAAACTGACTGTTTTGCAGGCGTAAGAAGAATGAAGCACACCACACCCTGTAAGCAGCAAAAACCCACCATCAATGTGCAATTTTTGTGCTCGGTTGTACACATTAGCTTTAGCAGAACCTTGAGTTGGGAATGAAATGAATGGAATGGAGGATCCTTCTCTGTTTTTCTCCTTTCTGGGGTCTTTGGATAATGTAAAAATAGCTCTTTCTTTTGCATTTGGGATCCTTCTCTGCTTTTCTCCTTTTGGGGGAATTTGGGTAATGTAAAAATAGATGTTTCTTTAGCATTTGTGGTATAAGACTTCCCTGCTGATCATGCTTTACGTGAATGAAAACACTAGTTTGGTTGTTCATTAGCGAACTTGAAAGTTGAAACCCCAGATAGAAGGAAGCATGAACAGAGAAGCTCAAAAGTGAACAACCAATCATTGAAAGTAAAGAAATAGAACTGCTACATTTGAAATTGATATCTCTGGTTAGCAGGTCTACACTAGTTTGTCTTTACTAGGATTCTCAGTTTTCACAGTTAAATCAACTTGTGCGTCTATATATGAACAGGGGAGATTACAATCACCTAAACAAATACATATTCCTTAAGCAACAAACTTGTTCTCAAACCTCATCATTCTCCACTTCTTCAGAACAGGATCAATTGACCTCCATTGCTCTCCTTTACCCCCAACCTTTTTAAGAAGAGCAGCAGCCTGCCTTCTTAACCGCCGACACATCATCTCTGCCACCAACATTGATCGTCTGTCCTCGAGGCAATGCTGCAGGATCATCACCAATATCAAGCGCCTTCCTGCTGACGACTCGGTAGATCTGGGTGAGCACCTCAGTGAATGCATTCTCCACGTTCATCGACTCTAAAGCTGATGTCTCCATGAAGAAGGTGCTCTCTCGCTCCGCGAACGACTTGGAGTCCTCGGTTGAGACTGCCCTCAGGTGGCGCAGGTCAGCCTTGTTCCCGACGAGCATGATGACGATGTTGGCATCAGTGTGGTCCCGGAGCTCCTTCAGCCACCTCTCCACGTTCTCAAACGTGACGTGGCGTGTCACGTCGTACACTAGCAGTGCTCCCACTGCTCCTCGGTAGTATGCGCTAGTTATTGCTCGATACCTTCATTGCAACACAAGAAATGATATCCCAGGGCAAAAGAGGAAACTTTCAACAGTTTGGTCTAAATCCCAAATGCAAAAGAGCAAACTTTTAACAACTTGGTCCAGAAGGGGCATCAGGAGTTCTAGATTTTGACAGGTTTTCATTGAAATGAAAGACATCACAGGAAACTTCAACAATTTGGTCCACCAATGGTGTAAAAGAGGCAACTTTATCTACGAAACAAGTTCATGTTGAATACACAGAGTCACAGACAATGGGTGTTAATTTTTGTTCAACAACTTGCTGTTGCATTTCGCTTCAAATTCTCATCAACTTCCTAGTTTTGTACCAGAACAATCTAACAAAGAAGTCTCGATTCAGTGCGAAGTCATTCACGTTTACCCACTAGTTACCAATATGCCTATATCTGTATGGGTCTTTCAAATTCAGATGAAGATTGTATAGCTAACCATCCAAAATTCCAGAATTGATCAAAGGCAAAGAATAACAGAAGCTGGGTAGGTCGAACCAAATCATCAAAACCGACCCAATTGCGGGAATTACCGAAGGGAAGGAAGAGAGAACGTGGGTTCATCGGAAAATTCGCCGGAGATCGTCGAAGGCGTAAAAATCAGATTGAGGGCAGGGGAGGGGGAAAGAAATTACCTTTCTTGACCAGCGGTATCCCAAATCTGGGCCTTGACCACCTTGTCATCGACGTGGATGCTCCGAGTAGCGAACTCCACCCCGATCGTGGATTTGGATTCGAGGCTGAACTCGTTCCTGGTGAAACGGGACAGAAGGTTCGATTTCCCGACGCCGGAGTCGCCGATCAGCACAACCTTGAACAAGTAATCGTAATCGTCGTCGGCTCTATACGCCATTTTGGATTTTTCCTTTTCCCTCGCTTCTTCTTCCCTCTCCAACACCGACTATCTCTTTCTTTGTTTCGTATGATGTGATTTCTTTTTCTTTCTTAACAGCTAAAAGACGGAGGCGCATCGAGCGGAAAGGAAACTGTTGGAATTTAGGCGCATGGTTACGGAGGAACGGATATTGGGAAAAAAGGAAAAGAAAAAACAGGGATTTACTGAGAAGAAGAAATAAACGGGAGAAGAAAAAGAGAGAGAGGGCCTTTGTAAAATTGGCTTCTTTATTTATTTTGGAATTCTAATTGTGGCTTTTTGTGCCCTTTAATTTAAACCGGTGCTTTCCGTGATGTATTTGGGGGGTTCAATCACGAACGGCATAACAGATAATCAAACCAATATGTCTGTAGCATCGGCTACACCATCCAGTCTCTATTGATTAATTAGGTGGGATGTTTTGTTGATATCATTCAGTACTACCATGAACTGTTTGAGTCATTTGAATTTTGTAGAAAATGAGATATTCCGATTTAGATGCTTATCTAATGTTTATTTGCATATACTTAGCGACTATATTGGTGGTCTAAAAAAAATGATTTTGTGCATTGCAATACACTTTCAATAACAATTTGTGTTATGTGACATAGCATATCTATTTGGCTAATCTACTTTTTTCTTTCTTCGTAATTTATGCGTTAAAAACAGAACAGAAAAATTAGGGTTACCGAATTTGGCTGAGTCGCGGACTAGGTCGCTCTTTTTACAACGTTTGCGGCACTACCTCGTAATACGCACAACAGACTATCAGTCGGTTGCCTCCAGAATAAAACGACCACTCTGATTTTTTTGCTCATCGATTTTGTGCGAAAACTGGAGCTCTATGAACTCTCTCTCTCTCTCTCTCTCTCTCTCTCTCTCTCGTGTTTCTGCTATTCTGAGGTGTATTTAAAGAGGCTAGGGGTCTGCTATTTATTAGAGCAGAAAACCCAGAATATTCCCTCTTTCTTTGTGAATAAGTAGGCTTGGCAATGGGGCGGATCGGGGCCGGGTAGCCTGGATCCGTTGCCCGCCCACCATGGGCCTCGGGTTTCCCCGTCCCCGGCCCAAACGGACTTGCGGGCTTGGCTGGATAACCATCCCCATCCCCAATGGGTAATCGGGTGCCCGCGGGTCCATTATACCCGCTACAAACATTAAAAAAAAAATTAAAAATGACAAAAAAACTGGAAAACTGGACACTTTATTCATAGTGACTGTCACTGATCTGTCAAAATGACTTAAAATAAACAATGAAAGCTTGCCAAGCTGCAATAGTGGCACTATGCCAGCAGCTCAGCAAGCAACAACACCAAAAACAACATTTGTTCCATGTTTGTGATAGAAATGATCAAATGAACCAATAACCAAAAACAGCCGACTCTAAATTCTAAATGTCTAATTCTTTTGCCAAAAACAGTAGAAAGAAAAGTTGCAAGCAACAACAGCGCATCAACATTCCATCCAGGATTCCAGGTTCCAGCAGCATCGAATCATTGAGGAATCATCCACCCGACCACCCCTAACCCTCATTCCAATCGATGTAAACCAGCAGACCAGCAATCATCAATTGAAACTGAATAAATTACAAACAAGAGCAATGATTCAGTTAGTAAAGACTAAATGAAAAATGCATCAACGACAACAAATAAAGAAGACAATTATACCTTGGTCCCACAGCAGATTACCAATCAGTCTTCATGGGCAAATGGTGATCATATTAAGGTGAGCTCTGGACCTGAAAAAGCGAAACAATGCAAGTATAAGTATTCCTCAATGAAATAATAGAAATTAGAACACATTATGGAAAAATGATAATTTGATCTTACCACCAGGTTGTGCCTCTTCCACAGTTGTATCTTCGAGTGTCATTGTTGAGAAGAGTCCATCCAATGCCTCCACAGCAGCCTCCGAATCTGCAGAGAACCATTTCAATGAGTTAATACTATTATTAAAACGCAAAGCAATAAACTTGAGAGATATAGTTGCATTTTACCTCGTTGCATGTCCTCCATTATCCAACTCCTAGTACACATCATTGCCTCCACAGTCGAATAATGCAGCCTGCTCCGGTGAGGGTCTAACAACCTCCCACCAGAACTAAATGCACTCTCAGAAGGCACAGAAGTAATAGGGATTGCCAGAAAGTCCCTTGCGATTGATTGCAAGGTAGGATACTTCAAACCATTCAATTTCCACCACAAGAGCAGATCAAACTCTGCTGTGCGAGGAATGATATCCTCAGCAAGATACATATCCAACTCAGTTGTAATCAAGGAAGTCTTACTCTTTTTCCTTTGACTTACAAAGAGTTCAAAGTCAAGTTCAGTGGCAGAGGCAGATCCAGAACCAGAAGAAGAAGTTCCAGTTTCAGAACCAGATTTTTTCTCAGCTTTGGTTTGATAATCACGAATCAAACCACATATCATTTGCTTGATATTCTCAGCAACCAAACCAGTTTCAGTATTCCCAAACTTTCCAACATAGTATTCAATCACATGGAGTTTATATCTAGTATCCAAAACAACCGATACAGCAAGCACAAGATGGATATCATCCCAGTACTTATCAAACTTCAGTGACATTTGACTAGCCATTCCAAAAATCACAGGATTGGGATCAAGACCCCACTCATTCAGTTTAAGTCTGAGATCACATATCTTAGGGAAGAACAGATTGGCAGTAGGATATTTGGAACCAGAGAACAACTCAGTAATCTCAGAAAAGATTTCCAGCTTCCCAATCACAGTAGAAGCAAATTCCCATTGTTCACCAGAAGGAACTGATGTGTAATGATTGTCTCTCAAACTCAAACGAAAGAAAACATCCTTGTTGGGAATAGCAACAGAGAGCATATGATAGGTGGAATTCCACCTAGTTGGACAATCAAGGACTAATTTTTTTCTCAACAGACAACTTAAGTTGCTTAGCAACTTCGAAGAAGGTTTGAACCCTCTTAGGTGTAGAATTCCAGTAAACTACACTCTCCCTAATCAAATTTATAGCATCCTTGATTGCATCCAAACCATCCCTTACAATCAAATTCAGAATATGAGCAGAACACCTCATATGAACCAATTTACCATCAAGCAACAAGTCACTGCTCAGAAGCTTAGTTCTCATGTGGAAAATCATGGAATCATTGGTGGTACAGTTGTCCAATGTGATTGAGGACAACTTACCATCAATGTTCCAATCCAAAAGACAGTCAAACAACCTATCAGCAAGCCTTTCACTGGTGTGAGGGGCTGGAACATACATAAATCTCATCATTATATTACGGAGATTCCAAGAGTTATCAATGAAGTGACCAGTTACTGCCATATAACCCCTTTTCTGATTTCTGGCAGTCCACAAATCAGTTGTAATTGCAACCCTCCCCAGGTTACCATCAATAATTGTCTGATATTTACCCCTTTCAACACCATACAAACTCAAAATGTCCTTTTTGACAGTGTTTCTACTAGGAACACTGAACTGAGGTTGAAGAGAACAGCAAAAACGTTTGAAACCCACATGATCAACAAGGCTAAGGGGGTACTCATGGACCAGAATCATTGAGCAAAGTTCCTTCATAGAAACCTCATAATTGTACTGAGAAGCAGAGAGTTGAGGATTTCCAGCAGGTTTATAGTTAGGCCCAAGTATTTTTTGAGAACCATCATGTATCCTCTTTTGGATACATGTTTTGATATGGGTTCTTAGGTGTGAAGTTCCATTACTTGTTTCCCCACCAAGGGATTTACGATAGTACTTACACCTAGCCTTCATAACCCCATTAACCCTAACTCGGTTAAAGTGAGGCCACACATCAGAGGTTAATTTACGTTGAGTTTCAAGCTCCTCAACATTACCAGGTTGTTCAGGTTGAGGTTGGACTTGGACACCATTTTCAGGGGCATCCACATTGGGAGCAAGGTCAACATTTATAGCAGGAGCACCTTCCATCTGACATAATATATATTAAGCCTTAGTTAATACTTAATAGTCATTAACTTAGTTACATGATTTAAATTTAAACTAAGGCTTAATGTTTAGATGATCTGAACATTAAGCCTTAGTTAATAGTTATTAACTTAGTTATTAACATTAACTCATTAAGCCTTGCAAACAAACATCTCTAGCAGCAAAATCACGCTTACAGTTTAATTAATTTTACTTATTAGCTCGGTGAATCCACTGTTTGTCACAACAAGTCGCAGCATTATGAACAAACAGTCAAACACAGTGAGGTGAGGCTTAGGAGAGAACTGGGATTACCTTCTCGGATTGGAGTTTTATGTGGACTGTCGAGTACCCAATGACAGTAGACCGCTCCTAACTGCTCACTGACTCTGTTCTGCTTCAGTTCTCCAAACCAGTAAACCCGATCCAAAGTTCCAAACGAGACCAACCTAGCCCAAACAAGAGTGAACAAGAAGAGTCAGTGAACAAATAAAACACAAACCAAGTTAGAACTGGAATTTAATGCATGCATGTATGTATTATGAGACCACTAACCCTAGACGAGATCAAGAAACTTACCTTCGACGACTGGACTCTGTCTGCTTCAGTTCTCTAAACCAGTAAACCCGATCCAAAGTTGCAAAGGAGACCAACCTAGCCCAAACAGAGTGAACAAGAAGAGTCAGTGAACAAATAAAACACAAACCAAGTTAGAACTGGAATTTAATGCATGCATGTATGTATTATGAAACTTAGACGAGATCTAGAAACTTACCCTCGACCTCGACGACTGGACTGTGTCTGGATGCTCGGGCGCTCGGCTAAATCCCTCGGTCTCTGCTCTCTGTTGACTCGACTGGGGTGTTCTTGTTCTCGATTTCAGAACTCAGAAGATGGCGTGGTGAGAACTGAGAAACGACCTCTGCGCTCTGAATCCCCCCTATATATACAAGTAGAAGAAGAGTCAGTAGAGAGTTAGGGGAACGGGGAATCAGGGAAGAAATTTGAAAGAAAAGATAAGAAACCCAGAATGAACTTATCTTTTCTCGAAGAATCAGCGATTCGGACTTCCAACGAGGCAACGACTCGTTTTTGGACTGCGGCCGACAAAATCTTCGTCGGATGATTGCTCTTTGAGCCATGCAATTGGTCGAATGGAGGATTTGATGAGGGGAAATGACGAAAAATCGGCCAGATCGCGATTATCTAGCGATCTGATCGCTAATCGCCAGAGAGGAGGCAGAGAGAAGAAGGAAACTAGGGTTTCTGTTCGATTTGGGGGAGAATGGAAAATGAGACGGCTGCTAGGGTTTCTCCAAGGGGAAGCAGAGTTTATATACGCCCTCCAAACGCCGTCATTTTCTACACGGTTAATCCGTCTGGCGGGTCGCGGGGCTGGGCGCGGGGCGGATACTGGGCTAACCACCACCACCCGAAAACCATGGTTGACGGGCTTCGGGTTACCCGCCACCCGTTGACGGGCCCGAGATCCCTAACCGCATGGGCCCTTATCGGGCGGGCTTCGGGCGGATACCCGGATTTGGGCCCCGGCCTGCCATCCCTATGAATAAGCCACATATTAATTAGGAAGATAATTACTTCCATAATTAAAATGCATTATACTAAGATAATTAATCCTAATTAACTCAATAATATTTCTTTTATTAATTATCCATCTTATTTTCGTATCTAGAAAGAATACTGGATAATTAATTCAGTATAGCTTTCAAAGCTATTCATTCCCAACACTATGTTCAAAGGAGTAATCCATGGCAGATGGTAGGATATAGAAACATAGTGAGTGAAGAAATTCGTGTGGATTGTGGATCCTCACAATCACTTATGTATATATCGCATATCGTTCTAGAGCGAGTATATAAGGAAACTCTATGGGGAGCTTGCCTTTAAAACGCCATTTCCCTACTGCTTTCGCTCACAAAATATTTTATTTAATTTTATGAGATTTCGTTTTACAAGCAAAGAACTCAAGGGTAATTTGAACCCAATGGACACCTCAACCCCTTAAGTTCGTTTTCCAAACCCAAAACCAAATTACTCACTAACTGAGTAGTGGGACATGAGAGTCCCGGAATACAATATTGGTTACCTACAAAGAAAAATTGACCATGTTCTACATAAGATCACTAATTGATGAGGCCCAAGTAGGGCTCGAACTCTTATGCTCACGACAACACAACAATGGCAGATTGAGGGTGGGTTTTCGTAGTAATTGAATAAGGGTTTTTGCGGATCAAGGGACCAAGCTAGCAACTTCAACACTATGGGGAAGAGGCTGGTTTGGGTAGAAGAATACCACGAGATTAAAGATGAGGGTTTGATCTCGAAGTCTGCAAGTCAAGGATCTCGATCAAGACCAAACTCAAGCACTCGTGCTTAAGAAAACTCCTCGGAGTAAATTTTATTAAACTCAACAATAACGTGTCTTTACAATTGATGAGCAAAGCTATTTATAGCCAAAAATATCATAACCTAATCCTAATAAAAAAATGAAAACTAGTTCAAGTCAAACAAGGAAACCAACTCGCACAAATACAAAAACTTGCACGCCAAGCAACCGCCTTCTCTTCCAAGTAGGCTGCCCAAAAAAAAACTCTTCCTCCCATCTTTATGCCCTTCGATGGAAGCCTTCCAGGTAAGCTCTTCTTTAGCCAATGCCACGTCTTTGTAGAATAACAAACGTAATTTCATGTGGTATGATGCCTCGAACTCGATTCTCTTCCATGCTCCTGAAACTGGGCTTCAAAGTCAGCACCTCGAAGACCCTTTCTGCCTTAGTAAAAAACTGGCAGATTTCTAGTCGCAGGATAGCATTTTGAAGGCCTTGAAACACAACCTTCCTGGCTTCCCCTTGCCAATCCAAGCAGACAACATGCAAAACAATATCCAAGCTTCATAACAAGTGCTCATTCTCGAATTTCTACTGAGCCAATTGAGAGATACAGCCCTCCAAAGTGGGCTTCCCAAAACTGTTTTCATACTTAGAAAAATTCCAGCATTGTTCTTGTTGACTTGATTCCATCTTTGCAAGATTAATTGCTTCATAAACGATGATGGAATTGATATCATATCAAGCCCCCCTTCTTTAAGAAGCTTTGCCCTCAAAGCTTGAGTCACCCTGCATTCCAAACAGGGTCACAAACCGTAAGCGCCAAATCGTCCCTTTTCTAGTGAGACCCAATTTTCCGGCGAGCCCTTTTGAATTGGGGCTTTTGAGTTGAGCGCATTGTGTTCTGATTTACGGGCGGCATCGAGTCCGCCTGACTTCCAGGAA